CCTGCGTCGGGCTCTGTGCTGACAGCTCAGAGCCTGGAGCCCACTTCAGATTCTGTGTGTCTCCCCCTCTCTCTGCCCCTCCCCTGCTCATGCTCAGTCTCTCTCTGTCTCAAAAATAATAAAAACATTTAAAAAGTTTAAAAAAAATAATCGCTTAAAAAAAAAAAAACAACAATGTATCTTGGACAACCTAAAGCTACTTCAGGCTTTTATACCTGATACCTCCTAAAGGCCACACTTAGTAGACCTGAAGCTGCCTCTTAAAAAACTGGTTGCCTTTCATTGTCTGCACGCTCCGTGGCTGGCCAGCTGCACTGGAGGAGCTGGGCCTACCTACTGATCGCCCCTCGGTCCTTCCAAAGTCCCTCCTCAAAGGCCATGGAAAACTTTGTGCAGGCACTTAGGGTCATTCCTTGTTGCTAGAGAAGTAGGATTTGTGAGAATAGCTCTGGCTCACAGAAACATGTGGTTTGGGGAAATCAAAGATGTAAGGGCAGAGGTCAGGAAACTGATTCCTAGGGGCCACCTGGTTACCCATGGTATGGAGCAGCAGCTGTGTTCTGTTCAATAACTAAGGGTAAAAGCTACCAGTGGAATTGACAAATGGATCCAACTCTAGGGGTGCCTGGGTGGCTCAGTCACTTAAGCGTCCAACTTTGGCTCAGGTCATGATCTCATAGTTTGTGAGTTCGAGCTCCATGTCGGGCTCTGTGCTGACGGCTCAGAGCCTGAAGGCTGCTTCGGGTTCTGTGTCTCCCTCTCTCTACACAGAGACTTGTGCTCTATCTCTGTCTCTCAAAATTATATAAATGTTTAAAAAAAATGGGTCCAACTCTTGGAAACTCGGTTTTGTAGATGTATAAAAAAGTGGAAACAAATTAAAAAAAATAAAAATATGCAATCCCTTGTTTATTGCTGTGTGTAATAGCTAAAATGTAATTAAAAGAGAGGGCTCTGGCAGAGGGAAAGCATGGAACATGAGGTTGCACATCCTTCCATCTTCCTTTCAGGGCACTACCCAAAGCTACACATGGATATGGAGCCCAGAGAGCAGAGGGTGGAGGAAACAGAGATCTAGGCTGAAGGATATGAAGGCAACAGGAAATCCTGCTGCTTAGACCTTAGGGGAGGGGATCTCCCTGGACAAGGCTGATCTATGGCCTCAGTCTGGGCTCTTGAGGTCCCCGTCACCCCAGAAGCAGAGAGCATCACTCTTTCCCAGCAGAGGTCAGGTGCAGACAGGTGATACCATCCACTGAATCCCATGTTCCTCTTCCAGAGGCTGAGTCCTCACTTCTCACTCGAGTCTAACTCCCAACCTTTGCCACCTGGACAACGACCCTGCATGTAGGGGGACAATCTTGGTTGAAGTCAGCGTCCATCTTTCTGACAAAAGAAGGAATGGTGCAGCTCATATTGTCCCCATGCACAGCTGGACTGGCCATGAAACACATAGATGCAGGCCCAAGACATAGGAATGTCTGCTTACCATTCAAAGGAACACAAGGGGCTGCAACCACACTAGCTTATGCACGTACAAGTAGTTAGTTCAGGCAAGCATGAGCAGCTGATCAGCACTATCCTAAACACGTAATCACCTGATGTACCTGATGAAATCTGTAACGTAAGAAATGAATCCATTTTCTAGATTTTAAATCTCATGAGATAGAACAGGCCTCCGTGGGACCAGATGAAAGGGCACCGGAAGTAAGTCACCGCTGTTAACATGACTTCGTGGACTTTCAGTCAATAGCATCCACCTTTTCCAGAGATCCCTTGCCCCATTAGGAAGTGCAGGACTTTGAGCAGTAGCTTCCTGTGTTTCTGGGCGCTGCCACACCAATAAATAGCCCATCTTTCTTCACTTTGAAAGCTGGGTGTTAGTCCTCTCTGGCTTGCTGTGCATCTGGCAGACGAACCCTCCCGTGGTTCAGCTACACCCTCTTACGGACAGGAGGCAGCCAGCATGATGTGGCCCTTGCTTCTGCCTTCTGGACTCTGAGGAGGGCGCCAAGACTCCACAGCACCCCAACCACAGGGATCTGGAACCTAAGTCTGTGTCAGTGTCACCAGCCTCCTGGCCTTAATGCCCGGGACCAGTTCTCAGTACAGGGGACTCCTGAGAGTGGCCGGGTGGACAAGGGACTACCCTAGAAGTCTCTACAGTTTTCTGTGGGCTTGGAGGAAGGGCACTGGGGGCACATAGGAGAGATCTGTAGGATGGGCCAGCCAGTCAGCCATGGAGCAGGAGGACAATGAAGTGCACAGCAATCTTTAAAAAGAATCAGGAAGGGGCGCCTGGGTGGCTCAGTCGGTTGGGCGGCCGACTTCGGCTCAGGTCATGATCTCATGGTCCGTGGGTTTGAGCCCCGCATCGGGCTCTGTGCTGACAGCTCAGAGCCTGGAGCCTGTTTCGGATTCTGTGTCTCCCTCTCGCTGACCCTCCCCTGTTCATGCTCTGTCTCTGTCTCAAAAATAAATAAAACATTAAAAAAAAATAAAAAAAATAAAAAGAATCAGGTTTACAGGGCACCTGGGTGGCTCAGGTGGTTAAGCATCTGACTTCAGCTTAGGGCATGACCTCACAGTTTGTGAGTTTGAGCCCCGAGTCGGGCTCTGTGCTGACAGCTGAGAGCCTGGGGCCTGCTTCGGGTTCTGTGTCTCCCACTCTCTCTGCCCCTCACCCACTCTGTGTGTGTGTGTGTGTGTGTGTGTGTGTGTGTGTGTGTGTCAAAAATAAAGAAACATTAAAAAAAAGAATCAGGCTTAGGTCTAGTAAATGTGGAAATAAGAAGCAGTGGGTGTCAAATGAGGAAGTGGCTTTAGGTTGTCCAAGATATTTAGTTAAGTGAGAAAAGCATAGTGCAAATGTGTATACAAAATATGTTTTTAGGGGGGTGTAGCTCAGGGGTAGAGCATTTGACTGTAAAATATATTTTTAGTTTTACCACAACACCTTTTATAGAAACCACTTGGAATCCACGGATGCCAACAGAATGACACACATATGAGCAGACACAATTCTAAAAGGATAACACTATACAGTAAGCCTCAGCTTTTCTGTTCATTTTTACAATTCTGTCTACTCTGTCTACATTGTTTCTTTCCTGCACTGATAATGTACAATGTTTTTAAGAATGAAGAAAGAGTTCATTTTGGAGAACCATCAGAGTGACCATTCTGGTTATGTTTTCAACCTAATTATTCCTGTTCTCAGACACAAATGCTGAATCTTCCCTAAGGTCTTGGGGCGCCTGAGTGGCTCAGATGGGTAAGCATCTGACTCTTGATTTTGGCTCAGGTCATGATCCCACAGTCGTGAGATGGATCTCCACATTGGGCTCCACACTGGGCATGGAGCCCGCTTGGAATTCTCGCTCTCTCTCTCTCTCTCTCTCCTCTGCCCCACTCATGTGCATGCTCTCTCTCTAATTTAAAAAAAAAAAATCTTCTCTGAGGGCTTAACTTTTTCCCCATCCACTGATGTTTCACCAGAGTTCTGTCTGCCACCACCCCTAATTACTACATAGTCATTGGTTAAAAACTTTTTGTAATTTGCATTTTGCAGCTATGATTCTGAGATAATACCAAATCCCCATACAGAACAATCTCTGCAAGAGAAATGATAATCACTTCCCAACAATGAGGTGAAATCATGGTTTTAAGTACCCAGGTACCTCATGGTGGAGAACAGCCTTTGCCTACATGCTCCATCTTTGAGCACTGCAGCCACTGTCCCCTCCCAAAATAACATTTATTACATTGTCCTCTTTTGAAGATGTTAGATTCCTAAAAGGAACTGGGTTTATGCCAGGATATGAAGATATTAAATGGATAAAAGTATTGTTCAATGAATTGGACACAAAAAAATTAATGATCAGACTAGAGAGGTGTCTTCTATGGATGCATTAAAAACAAAAAACCAAACCAAACCAAACCAAACCAAAACAAAAAACTCTTATTTCAGGGCGCCTGGGTGGCTGATTCCGTTGAGCAACAGTCTCTTGATTTTGGCTCAGGTCATGACCTCATGGTTGTTCAGTGGATCCTGTGTGGGACTCCCTGCTGAGTGTGGAGCCTGCTTAAGGTTCTCTCTCTCCCTCTGCACCTCCCCTGCTCACTCCCGCTCAAGCTCTCTCTCTCTCTCTCTCTCTCTCTCTCTCTCAAAACAAAACAAAACAAAAAAAATCTCTTACTTCACAGTGGCCTCACATCCATCCTGTGTCTTCTCTGTCATGGCCCTATATGGAATATTTTTACCTTGTCCATGACCAAACATACAGATTGACAAAACTGTCTATAATGGTTCCGGGTGTAAGTATTTGACTTGTAGGATGATAAGGTTTACTAGGTTCTGCTTCCAGCGACGTATTTTGTATCTAACTGACTCTAGGGAATATTACGTGCATTTGGATCTGTAGCCTTTGGGAACATATGAAATATTGTCTTTAGTTTTGGGACCATGCTGAGCATCAGGGAATCTGAAATAACGTCTCCAAACACTTGGGTGATCAGTTGCAGACGTCACTCTCCAGAAATCTGGGTATGGACCCTTTAAGAAGCAGCGGAGCCCCTCTGGCCTGGGACGTAAGACCCCGATTTCCTGAGCCCTCGACGGGGAGCGGCCTTTCCTCTGGGAGGTCCATAGGAGTGTTTTAATCCTGGCGCTGGGTGCCTGTGAACTACATTACCCAGAAGAGCGCGCGTCGATGGACGGCATCTCTGACCAATGAAGACAGAAAAGAGAGTCGTTTCTGGGTGTGCGCCTAACGTCGGGGCGGGACTTCTGGTTTCATCCCCCTGGCGGTATTTTTGCCTCTTTTCATTAGTCTTCACCCGCTAATGTTCGGGACCGAGGCGACTAGCTGACAAAGCCCGAGGAGAAGCGGTGTCCCCGCCTCGCAGACGGCTCCACGAGTCGGCGACGCCGTCCGGGCTGCCCCGTTCCGGGGTCGGGACAAGGACCGCGGGCCCGGGGGTCCGTTCTCCCAGGGGGTCCGATGGCGGCGGCCGCGCGCAGGGACCGGACTGAGGTAAACGCGCGCCCCCCGGGCCCTCTCCCCCCGCCCCAGACCCTCGAGGCCCGAGCGCGGGGCGCCTGCTCGCGTCCCTGCGGCCCAGGTCCGGTGTCCCGGCCGGGCAGGCGCTCGCGGGTGGGGACCCCGTATCTGAGCGCCGGCGTGACGGGGTGCGGGAGCGGGCTGCTGGGGCGGGGCCGGCTGGTGCAGGCCTGCAGGGGGCGTTCAAGGGGGTCGAATCGGGGATGTGGGGTTCGCCTTCTGCCCTCGGGGGACACAGGGTGTGCGGCGGGGTCACAGGGGCACTGGCGGGTTGTCCCTTCATGTGAGGACTCTAGACGCCGAGGAGAATTCTGGCCGAAGGAGGGACACAATCTCCGTTTGGGATTTAACAGTTTCCCAAAGGCGGTTCAAAGGAAGAGCGGGCCGGACGGGAGTGACGAGGACATCGAGGCATCGGGAGGTTGGATCTTAGTTCAGGTGACACAGCTGGCAAGAGGGGACACAGCATTGAGGCCCAGACGTTAGACAGCCAGCATGAAGTCAGTCGACTCCAGGGCCAGGGTGTACGGGAAGTGTGAGCCCGTCGAACCCAGCCGTGGATTCTGTTTTTCTGTATTTCTCTTTCCTCTATTTCCAGCCTCTCTGCACAGTTTCCCGTTGCGGCAGAAGCGCTGTGGACCTTACGCAGGTCATTGGGGGGTATTTCAGCCCTTCGCTGGCCCTGACCCCCCCACCTCCATATTCTCTGGATGTGGTGTCCTGGGGCTCTCAAGTGTCATTCCCCCAGGCTTGGGTCTGGGGGCCCTGGGGAAACCCCCAGCAGAGGATCCTAAGTCCTTGTCGGCCTTTATGTAGAAGCGTTTCCATCTGTGGCAACTGACCTAAACAGGTGTGGAGAGTTCTGCCAGGAACCGGTTCTAAGATATGCAGGTGCTTAGGGGTCTCACCGGCTGAGGGTGTTCAGAAAACCACAGCTGTCCTTCTATGTGGGAACAGGAGCAGGGGGACAGGAGTCACGGCTGGAACAACGGAGAAGTTGGGTGTATATTCTGGAGGTGATGAGGAGGTGTGAATCAGAGGCAGAAAGCGATCTTAATAAGGCCTTCCCAGACTCCATCTGGCTGCAGAGTGGAGAGCGGACTGTGGGACCGAAGGAGCAGGAGGGAAGATGAGGCTGCAGGATATGCCAACGTCCAGGTGAAGGTTAACGGACCAGGGTTGTGGCTTGGAAAAGTGGTTGGACTCTGGATGCATGTTTGAAAAGGGGCCACTGAATTCTCTAATGAGGGAGAAGGAGTGAAACACAGGACTCGGGGATGACCCCAGTGTTGCAGGCCTTAGCAGCTGTAGGAGTGGAAGGTCCATGGTCTAAGATGAAGAATGCAGCAGAGGTAATATTCGCTGCGGGGAGGGGAGTATCAGGAAGTATTTGATTTAGGTATGTTGAGAGTCTGGGGTGTTTCAGAGCCCACCGAATGGATGCGTGATGTGGGCAGATGTGCGCATAGGTCTAAAAATCAGGGGAAGTGTTCAGGATGGAGGCATCCAAAATGAGGTGGGTACAGGGGTGTGAGCCATGGTCACATTTAAGTGATCTTCGGTCGACCTGGGTGGGTCAGTCGGTTGAGCGTCCAGCTCTTGATTTCAGCTCAGGTCATGGTCTCAGGGTCGTGGGATCGAGCCCCCTGTTGGGCTCTGTGCTGGGTGTGGAGCCTGCTTAGGGTTCTCTCTCTCTTTCTGCCCCTGCCCCGCCCCCCTCGTGCACATGCACGCATATGCCCCCCCCCCTCAAAAAATAAGAAATAAAAGGACGGGTAATCTTCAGGTTATGACTGTAGAGCTGCTAGGGGACCAGGTAGAGGAGGGTGGGGGTCATGGGTGAGTCTCTTGCTTGGGTACCTGGGCGATAGGTTAAGGCTTCACAAACACAAATGAGGCAGGTAAGTGGTCCTGAGAGCAGTACATGTCGGGGACAGGATAGTCTGGCAGGTGGCTAAGGCTTCCAAGGCAATGGTGGACATGAGGTGGATGCAGAGACAAGGGATAGATAAGCGAGGCAAGATGTCACGCAGACTAGAAGCAGGTGTTCATTCACCACTCTGTGCACTCACCAGGGTTTTGTGAGGACTTTGTTGGGGCCTGGGGTGCTTCATTCAGCCCGGAGGATAAGGTCAAGGGCAAATGTGGTCATTTGTGAGAGTCAGTAAGGTGGGCCACTGATGGAGCTGGGCTTTGGATGAGGGTTAGGTGGACCCAGGAAGGTTATGGTTGCTTTGGGGACAGGAAGTGCAGCACCTAGTGGAATAGGGCTGCGGGTATCTGAGATCCCCAAGTCTGAGGCCAGGAACAGACCCAAGCAGTGAAGCCGTCACAGGAGGATTAGGGCCTGTGACTTTGTGCGAGTCCTGGGAAGTCAATAGCAGTATTCAGTCCTGTTTGAATTTGCAGAGCATCCCGTGGATGCTGTCGTCGGTTGTGGTGCAAGGCCTGAATCTAGGATCCAATACTGTGTGCTGCGCCCATGTCCGGGAACCATGGGGGCCTCAGACGGCCGCGTGCTGCTTCCCCTCCCCACTCTGCTCCCACAAGTAAGATCTCCCAACCAAACAGCGTTTTTATCGAGGGATCAGGAGCAGTTCCTGTGTAGCCCTCTAGTTGGTTTCAGTTCCCTACCTGCCCGTGGAGTCACTCAAATCAGTCAGTGACCTCTTCCCACAGGAAACAGGGCACCTCTTTCTACTGCTGTAACAAAGCTTGGATCTCACAACCACTGGCTGTTGGCTCTTTCCCAGAGTGCAGCCCCCGTGTGGCCCTGTGTCGCGTTGTTGCATCCACATGACTCCTGAAACAGAATGCTACGGGCACCAGTGACAGTCACAACAAAGTTTATTACAATGAGAGGCAAGGCCGACCGATCAGGACCAACACTCTTGATAAGAGTGCGCCCCGAACAGCCGGGGTACAGAGTTTTTATAACCGATCACATCGTTTTATCATCACCTGGGAACAGAACAAAGAAACAGTTTCCAGATGAGTTAGAAACAGTTGCCTAATGAGGTGTTTACTTTAGACTTTCTGCCTCTAAGTTGCAACCAGTGGATCTCCTTGACCCTGCCTCTGACGCTCTTTTCTTTGAACTTTTGTTTCCTTAATTGGTGAAGCCTAATTTACAAGAGTATGAGGCGTAGTTTACCAGAGCAAAGCAAGGCTGTTATCTCTTAACCTTCAGTGTCAACACAAAGCTGTTATTTTTCAAGCTAAGCATTAGCCCTACACTACAATTTAACCCTTACAGCGTGTGGCGTCTCCCTCTCCCAGACTGTGACTGTATATGGTTAGAACACTGTAGATGTCATCTGTCCGGTGGTAGGCGCCCTGTGTTTGCCATCCCCATAACCCTAGCACACAACCCCACTCTCACCAGTGGGGTGAGGAAGCGGTGGTGGAGATACCGTAATACACAGTAGTGAGGCCAAAGAGATGCCTAAGGTGTGTGGGGCAGCAAGCTGGTGGTGGCTGTGTCTGGGAATGTGAGGGATGTGCAGCCTCGAGAGTGATGTGTACTTGCAGAGCGTGTATGCCTGGTGCCCCAGGGCCCTGGTATTGAGAATTACATGATTTGTCCGTATCAGGGGACTGCTTAGCAGAAATGAGTGAATGCTTCTGTGCCAGACCCTTGTTTGCTACTTTTTTATCCTCATCTGCTCATCGCTGGTGCCTGTAATCATTGGGCCTGTGAGGAGACAGTGGCACCAGCGGTGCTGGGGCCTGGCTTCTCTTCTGTGTTGGATGCTCGGGAGGAAGATGGGTGAGGGGTAGATGTGTAGGGGATGGATTGCCATCTTTGGGGGAGAGGCTGTTCATGGTTTCATCTGTCTCCATCTTGCCAGGGCACTGTGACCTTTGAGGATGTGGCCGTGTACTTCTCCAGGGAGGAATGGGGTCTCCTTGAGGAGGCTCAGAGACGCCTGTACCAGGATGTGATGCTGGAGAACTTGGCACTTGTAACCTCCCTGGGTAAGGTCTGCAGACGCACCTCTGCCCTGAGCTAGCCTCTCCCTTTCCCTTTTTCCCCCAAGGGCAGGTCTGCCCTCCCATCAGGACCATGACCGCTGCTTCCTTCCCCACTTTCTTGAGTAGGCAGTGTGGTTGGCTGGGCTGAGGTATGTGCACTGCCTACTCCTTGAGCAGCCCCAACACCTGCTACTGCTAAGCCTCTCAGGGAAAGAACCAGGGTCAGGAGTGTTCCAGTCACTTTGCTTGCCCTCTCCCTGCCAGGTGACTCTTCTAGTTACAAAGCACCTGAGAATCCCAGGTTCTGCTTTTTTCTTCTGGCTAACATTTCCTCATTCCTGCTTGGGCCAGAGGTTGCCATCACTGACCTCATCACTGTTACATAGAGCACGGTCTGTTCTTGCAGGACCCTCCTTGGAGGTTCTCTTTATGATACTTAACTTTTCTTTCCCTTGTGCTGCTGTGCACTGAGCTGTGCTTGGTCAGTGCTGGCTGCTCACCTCCTGTCTTCCCCTCAATCCTTGCATCATCCAGGTGCCACATAGTTGCCCATCTTAGGGGCGGGGGAGGGGCGGGAGAGCTACTGTTGTGGTTCACAGAAGAGATATGAACCCAACTAAAGCAGGATGGGCTCAGAGGGAGCCTGGCTGTGAACAGTGACACACCTGGGAAAGGACAGGACCCCAGGGCTGTGTACATGTCATACCAGAAACTTATTCCGTGGGACTGGTCTTTCGTTGGTAATGACAGTGGCACCCACACTTCATATGTGCCTTTCCTTCCCCATTCTTCACACTGAGGTGACTGGTCAACTGCTACTCAGCACTATGCTCTTGCTTCCCACCCTGGGCTCATCTGTACCTCTCTGGACTCCTCATCTTGACCGGTTTTGTCACTGCTCTATTTGGGGTGCTCTCCATATCGGTTCCTGTGTACCGTGTCCTGAGGTGCACATAGATTCTTCAACAGCCCTTGCATACCAGCTTCTCTTTCACTGTTGAATTTTCCTGGGCCTGAACACACCCTTTTGCCCAGCAGACTAGGTCCTGTTGAAAGTTATTTGTAGACCCTGCCTGTCCTCAGTGTTGTTTATTTCACCTCATGAGGCCCCCCACCCCCATTTTGTGATCATTAGTGGCCCGGTACTGCTAAGCGGCCTCATCCTCAGCCTGAACTTGAACCTCTTGTCCTATAAGCAATCTCATGGACTCGTGTCTGGGTTTGTTAGACACACACATGTGTGGGGCTGCCCACCCACAAAAGTCACTGTGCGCTTCACCAGCATTTCCTGCTTTCAGGTTGTCAGCATGGAGCAGAGAATGAGGAGGCACCTTCTGAGCAGAGTGTTTCTGTAGAAGGAGTGCCACATGTCAGGACTCCCAAGGCAGGTCTTTCTCCCCAGAAGGCCAGCCCCTGTGAGGTGTGTGCTCCAGTCTTGAAAGACAGTTTCCAGTTGGCTGAGCACCAGGAAACCCAGTTCGATGAGAAAGTGTACACTGGTGGGACACATGGGAAAAGAGTCTATTTCAGCGGAAACCTTCGGCAGCAGCAGAAGGAGCACACTGGAGATCAGCCCTTCAGAAGCAGCGCGAGTGGAGCTTCGGTGGCAAAGAGCTGCAGACGGCATGTGTCAGGGAAGCCCTTCATCTGTGCGGAGACTGAGAGGGACTTCCTGGTCAGCTCGGGATTCCTCCAGCAACAGGCCACACACACTGGGGAGAAGTCAAACAATGGAACTGAGTGTGGGGCAGCCTTCCACAAGGGAAAAACTCAACACCACTGGGGAGACTGCACAGAAGCTCTCAGCAACCAACACACATTTGTTCATCACCAGAGAGTCCTCCCCGGGGAAAGATGTTACATGTGCAGTGAGTGTGGGAAATCTTTTAGCCATAACTCTAGCCTCATTAAACACCAGAGAGTTCACACCGGAGAAAGGCCTTATGCGTGTGGGGAATGTGGGAAATCCTTTAGCCAAAGCTCCAACCTCTTTCAACATCGGAGAGTTCACACTGGAGAAAGGCCGTATGAGTGCAGTGAATGTGGGAAATCTTTTAGCCAAAGTTACAGCCTGAATAACCATCGGAAAGTTCATACCGGAGAAAGGCCTTTTGAGTGTGGAGAATGTGGCAAATCATTTAGTCAAAGATCCAACCTCATTCAGCATCGGAGAATTCACACTGGAGAAAAGCCTTATGAGTGCAGTGAATGTGGGAAGTCTTTTAATCAAAGCTCTGCACTCCTGCAACACCATACTGTTCACACTGGAGAAAGACCCTATGAGTGCAGTGAATGTGGGAAATCCTTTACCTACAGTTCCAGTCTCTTAAAACACCAGAAGGTCCACACTGGATCAAAGCCTTATGAGTGTAGTGAATGTAGGAAATCTTTTAGCCAAAATTGCAGCCTTGTTCTACATCTGAGAGTTCACACTGGAGAAAGGCCTTATGAGTGCAGCAAATGTGGGAAATCTTTTAGCCAAAGCTCTGCGCTCCTTAAACACCAGAGAGTTCACACTGGAGAAAGGCCATATGAGTGCCGTGAATGTGGGAAGTCCTTTAGGCGAAGCTCCAACTTCAGTGACCATCGAAGGGTTCACACTGGAGAAAGGCCATATAAGTGCAACCAGTGTGAGAAATCCTTTAGTAAAAGCTCTGGCCTCACTCGACACCAGAGAGTTCATACTGGATTGGGCCTTATGAGTGTCTTGAATGAGAAAGCCATTAGCCAAAGGCCTTACCTCATTGATTACCACAAAGTGCACATGGCAAAAACAACTTAGTTGTGTAGCAAATGTGTTTCCTTGTTCAGTGTAACAGCACTCGAGGCGATCTCTTTTGAGGGTGCCATCTGCCTGTTGAGCCTCATGCATCCAGACATCAGAATAAATGGCAGGTATGTGGGAGCTGCATTGCATGTTTCAGCGTAGGCCCGTGTCAGGTTTTTATTACTGTTGATTCTGTAGCAGCAGCCATTCACCTCTGCCACATGGCAGGTGCCACACGTGTATCATTTCTCCATCTTGACATGTTCAGAGAAGTAAACCTTCCTGTTTTCCCATTTGTGGTAAATATGTGAGAAGCCAAAGTACTCATTCCTTTCTGTCTGATGACCCAGTTGTGGTCCAGAGGACTCCATCTGACTTTCCAAGTCACCTTTTTAGGGATGTTGTTGGTCTGGGGACTCTTGTGGAATTTTTAGCCTCCAAGTCACCAACCCAGGAACAGCCTGCCTCCGTCATTCTGGTTTGTGCTATAACAAAGGCCTTATTGTTTGAGTCGCCTTTATCTTGAGGGTTAGACTTACTCTTATGGGGTGGTTTCAGAACAGTGGAATGTTTGTGCACTTCAGGGGGATGGGATGATGGTAGTCCTCTCTCTAGTTTGGTCCTTGTTTGCATTGCTGCCCAAGGCCTGTAAGGAAATTATGTCAGGTTTTGTGGCTGAATTGTAGCCTAGATACAGGACATTTTGTGGTGTTGGAGCTCACCCTGAAGAGGGGGCAGTTGTGACAACCTCTGGTACTTCTTGGAACCACATAAAATTGTTCTCTGCTTTGCAGGGGATACTGTTTCGTGCTCAGCACTGGTGCAGGAATTCTGTACCTAGGTCCTGCAAACAAGTGATGTACCCTGATGTCCAGAATTCTGTGTGGTAGTGTCACTGGCTGAAAGACTATGAGGAAATTATCATTGTATACAAACAGTGGGTAAATAGAAGAGTGCAAGAGACTGCAACATCTGGTTGGAATGAGCGTCTTTTAAAAGGGCACCTGCCATTGTTCCAGGGGCGCCTGGGTGGCTCAGTCAGTTAAGCGTCTGACTCTTGATTTTGGCTCAGGTCACGATTTCATGGTTCATGAGATTGAGCCCCATGTCAGGCTGTGTGCTGACAGCAGGGAGCCTGCTTGGGATTCTCTCTCTCTCTCTTTCTCTCAAAAACAAAAACAAAAAGATGAAAAAAAAAAAGGTACCTGCCATCATTCCAGTTGGTAAGGCTGTGAAGGATGAACAGGAACAGAAATTCTCAGATCCTCCCTGGGTAGGAGCACCTGGGTGGCTCAGTCAGTTAAACGTCCAACTCTTGGTTTCCACTTAGGTCATGATCTTGTGGTTCGTGGGTTCAAGCTCCGCACTGGGCTCTGTGTTGCTGGTGCAGAGCCTGTTTGAGAGTCTCTCTCCTCTCTCTCTCTCTGCCCTTCTGTGCTCTCTCAAAATAGATAAACTTAAAAAAAAAAAAAAAAGAAGAAAAAAATTCTCAGATCCTCCTGAACTATGAGTCTTGTGTAGCTGAGGGCCTTGTCAGAAAATAATCTAATGGTTTTACAGATTCCTGTAGTTTGTCTGCATTGTTCACCTTAAGGCCATTGCTGCACAGGAGGGAAAACAAGAATAGAAAGAAGGAAGATCTCAGTCCAGCATTGTGGGCTTTGGTACCCAGCCTGCATTCCCGATCACTCAGGTGGAAATGGCTTTCATTGCTCACTTATATATGTTGCCACTGAGGCAAGGTGCTGATCCCAAGGCATTACAAGGGATATGATGGGGTCAATATAGGTTGGCCAAATTTTATTTTTGGAAAACAGAAAGAAATTTTTTTATTATACTGTTAATGCCTTTTAGGTATGGTTAATAAACAATTGTCCATATTTAAAGTGTACCATTTGGTAAGTTTTGATATTCATATAAACCCATGAAACCATCATCACAATCATAACATTGTACATATGCATCACCCCATATTCATTCATGTCCTTTAATTATCTCTCTCTCTCTCCTCCAGGCAAACATTGGTTTTTACTTTCTTTTACAATAGATTCATTTGTATTTTCTGTATTTTATGTGATTGAGAATAAAATGTTTAAATTTTTTCCTCTGGGTGTCCTCATTTAGTATATTTATTTTGAGATTTGTCAGTGGGTCTGTGTAATTAGTTTTTTCTTTTAAGGGTCAAGAAATGTAATGTTCAGTGGACAAACCACTATTTCTTTATTCATTCATCTGTTTTAGATATTTGAGTTGTTTCCAGTTTTTGGCTTTATCGGTTGTTATAGACATTTGTTTGATTCTTACAGTTATGATTCTTTATACAGTATGTTTCATTTCTCTTGTGATAATACCTCAGAATGCAATGTGTGAGTTACAGGGCTGTGGTTTTGGGGCTGTTAAATGTGGTCATTCTCAGGAGAACTCCTAAGTGTTAGCTCCCGATGAAAAGATGTGTTAGTTATGGGCTGAATTGTATGCTCCGAAGTTCATGTTGAAATCCTAACTTCCAATACCTCAGAATGTCATTGTATTTGGAAATAGGTCTTTTAAAAAAAGGTAAAATAAAGGCAATACGTGGACACTAATTCAGTGTGATGGTGTCATTAAGACTGGTGTAATTAGTACACAGGGGGAATACCATGTGAAGACACGGAGAAAATGCCACCTCTAAGCTAAGGAGAGAGGTCTCAGGAGACATCAGTGCTGCTGACACCTTGATCTCAGATATCTAGCCTCCAGATTTGTGAAAAAATACATTTCTATTGTTTAAGCCACTCAGTCTGAAGTAATGTGTTATGGAGGCTTTAGAAAAGTCTTATGGGGTCCATCAGCATCTCAGAAGGAAAGGGTCTGCAGGTCTGTGCCCTAAGGACAGAGAGAGGAGGTGGATTAGGATCCTTAGAGTAGTTGGAACCAGAGGGAGGGGTGTGCTTGGGTTGGAACTAGGCCAGGAAGCAAGGAGGGTGCTGGGGGCCAGACTTCCTGAGACGCTGTGCCATGGGCTGCGAATTCCTCCATCCCCGCCTTTCACTGGAGGTCATAAAGAGAAACTTTCTGTCCAGCCTCCCCCTAGGTTCAGTTTCCAGCCAGGTAAAATGGGGACAGTGAGCAGACCTGCCTCAGGGGCTATTTGAGGATGTAGAGAACTCATGGCCTAGGGAAGGGGCTCAGATGGAGAATCTGTTAGAGTGATGACTGTCCTAAGGGGTGGGGAGCAGAGGCAACAGTGCCTTTGGAGAGAGGGGCAGCAGACCACTGCGGGAGAAAGTTGGGCAATTTATAACTGAGGGGCCTTGCAGGGGCTGAGGTTGAGGTGAAGGAGTAGGTGAGGTTCCCACCTGGCTCTCCTTGAAGCTCTGATCCCTACTAGATGGTCCTAAGCCACTGGGGACAAATAGGGACATGCAAACATCACCGTGGGGTCCTAGATAAGTGGTAGCCACACCTGAAGGGCCCTTTGAACACCTTCAAGTGGATTTTAGTCAGCTTCTGCCCTCTGTGGGACTTGAATATGTTTTAGTTATTCTGTCTGTTTGCAGGGTGGGTTAAAGCATTTCTTTGCTGAAAAGCTGATAGATTTTGTTTCCAACCCTGGGTTATCCCAATGTTTACATCTACATCAGATGATCATGTCACACACTTTACAGGAACCATTATACAAGAACTCTGTAAGGCGTCAACCCTGACTCAGAAACAACAGTCTTTATCACTCACAATCTGGAAAAGTTAAAGGACCACTAGCATTGTTAACGTCAGCAAAACTTTCAGAACCTTTGAGCTCCCTTGCCAAAGGTATTCCCTGTAGCCCTTAGGGCCATGTAGTCCGCTCACTCACTTATCTCCCTATGAATTACTAACTAGAAGACCCATATGTCTAGGGATTTCACTTCCATCACTGGTTGCTGCTGTGCTATTTGCAGACACGCCAAAATATTACCAGGGACTCAGGTACTATATCCAGTCTTATCACCAACTCATTAAGGCCACCATCTGAAGATATGTTTTAAACAGCTTTTTCATGATCTTCAACTAATAGATTCCATCTATTGGAATAGACCTCAGAGAGTAACAGTTCTTGAACCTCATTGGAAGGAAACTATCAGGTGCTGTTAGCAACAAATACAGCAATTAGGGGTGATTGGATGGCTCAGTCCATTAAGCATCTGACTCTTGGTTTCAGTTCAGGTCATGATCTTACAGTTTGTGGGTTCAAGCCCTGGGTCGGGCTCCATGCTGACAGCATAGTGCCTGCTTGGGATTCTCTCTCCCTCTCTTTCTGCCCTTCCCATACACACACACATGCACATTCTCTCTCTTTCTCTCTCAAATAAATAAACTTAAAAAAAAAATAGAGCAGTGAAACTCCAGGGAGTCACTCTGGTTTAAGTTTCACAACTAAAGAAGAAATCCAGAATTCCACACAATTGGAAGGCTACTACAATCTGTGACCTCAAACAGGATTTTAAGCTGATCTTCAGAAGCAGACAGGTGACCCAAGACCTTCAGAACAAACAAATGACATCTTCCACTCAAGACCTCAGAGCAAGATATCTGCCAAATTCCTGTTTTGTTTTTTTAATCTGCTTGCCTATAATTGTTCCACTTCTCATTTTCTACAGACCCTTGTTGTCATCACCATTAATGGCCCTTTTACTCATTTCTTCCTTCCTATTATAAGCGTTAGGCCAGAACATACTCATTCTAACACCGATAATAGATTATCCCTAAAAGTAGCTACTGTCCTCAGTTTTACTGCTGGATTTGGCATTCATCACCATCCCACCATGATAAAACCTCTGGGCCATGCTGAAGTCTTAACTTTTTAGACTGTAAGCCTTTACAACTCCTCTGCCTGCCTTTGAGAATATGCCAAAATGTGAGTGATGGTGTCTGACAACCTTGTTGCAGCAAGATCTGAATAGACGACCTTTGAGTATTCTCGTTTGGCTGGTCTTCATCTATTTCCACAGCTCTTAGGGTGTCTTCTTTAAACTGCTGTGTTTTAAATTGATTTG